TCATTCAGTGTACCATGGTACAAGTATTACCATCACCAATTCATTCAGTGTACCATGGTACAAGTAATACTATCACCAATTCATTCAGTGTATCATGGTACAAGTAATACTATCACCAATTCATTCAGTGTACCATGGTACAAGTAATACCATCACCAATTCATTCAGTGTACCATGGTACAAGTAATACTACCGTAAAATTCGTAATAGAAGCCGCGGCTTCTATTAAAAAGAAAATGGCTGCCCTCCCCAGGAAAAGTGGTGAAGTCCGGGTGCGGCTTCTATTGAAGCATTGTCTAAAATCTTAAAGTGCCTGCACACGAAATATGCAGATTAGTTAATGATATGCTAATGAGATGCACGCAAATTCCAAACTGCAACAATGTATGAAGTTTTTACTTTAAATCATGGAGCTACAAATGTTTAAATCAAGGGCAATTTTCAGTGATATTCAATAAATATTTACTCAAGATACAAACCATTCAATAAATACTATATAACATACATGTACAAACACACACACACACATGATAGCGGTATAACTCTTTTTGGAGGATGTGGTGGCCCTGAAAAGGGCCGTTTGGTTTGTATGTGGAGAACCACGGAGATTTGGCTAAAATCCAAAGAACTCGTCATCGTCTTCATTGTCGCTATAAAATATCTCGGCGATCTCTTCTCCGATTGCCTCGTCGTCTGCCTCGAGATCTTCGTACACCAAGTTGTCCTCACTGCCATCAAGTGCATTAGATATGCCAGTCTTCTTGAATGAATTGATGACAGTTTGGGGCGGAACTTTGTTCCACGACGAGACGACCCACTCAAGTACCGTCTTCTTAGCAGGGGCCTTTCTTTTACCAGCCGGTGTGAACAGTGCTTCGCCGGTCTTCATCCACTCATCCCACTCGGCGTGCATATAGTCTTTGAGTGGCTTATTTACGCCCACATCTAGCGGTTGAAGAAGTGATGTCAATCCTCCCGGAATCACTGCAATGTCCACGTTCCGAGAATACAATTCCTCTTTGACAGCGGGCGTGAGGTGTACGCTACACGAGTCCCATATAAGCAGCCGCCGAGAGTCATCGTTCCGTCTCGGAAATGTATTTCTAATCCACGGTAAACAAACTGAAGTGAAGAATAAAAAATAATTAACTACAGGCAAAACATGGAAATAAAAAAAAAAAAATCCGCTAACTCCGTGGAATGATGATTAAACTAGATAGCAAATAATGATGCGAAAAACAAAAGAAAAACGTAATCACAACGTTTACAAGGTGGCAGCCATCTTGAATGGCACGCCGTGGCTTTTGACATGACGTGACTCGATCCGATCATGCATAATATTGACTGGGAACCATGGAAAACAGATTTATAAAAGAAAAAAAGAAAAATATTTTATGTGGAAACACAGAGCGGCAGTCATCTTGAATCTTATTGATCACATTTACAAACAGTGAACAAACCCAAATGTACACGCAATGATACACGGACGGTACAGTGTAGTGTATCAGGACATGATCAGGAGAACCGGGCCCAAGACAACTTTTTTTAGCTTCATGCACGAACAAAATAAAAAAAAAATACTTACGAGATTCATTGATGTATCCCTTTTCTTGAACTTCTACCGTTATCTCTCTGCGTGTGAGGTCGTCCAGTCGCCGTTTACCTTTGAAAATAATCAAAGGGCGGATCTTTTGGCCGTCAGCGGTAACTGTCAACACAGCGGTGAAACCTCTTTTTTCTGAATTCGTTGTCTTGATGTGGACGGTCTTGATTCCTTCATGCTCGAGAGTTCTGTTTCCAGGCATATCGAACCGTAACGGTGTCTCGTCCATGTTATATACATCACTGAGTGGGTAGTTATGCTGTTGACGCAATTGGATAACGAATCGATGAAACTGGGCGATTTTTTCCTCGTAATCGGGTGGTAATTTTTGACCAATGGAAGTGCGCACGCGAGTTGAAAGTGTGTGACGTTTCTTGAACGAGTGAAGCCAGCCGTCAGATGCCTTGAATGTGGTTTCGGTGGCGATTCGTCTTGCTTGCATCTGTAGTTGTCGACCAGAGATGGCATTTCCATTTTTCCGATGTCCATCAAACCACTGCATGAGGTTGTCGTCCAGCGTGGTACTTCTCACTTTACGTCCTCCACCGTCTAATCGCTTAGCACTGCGTTTACCCATGTACAGTTGCTCCTTCGATCGGATCCATTGACGTACTTGCTTTTCGTTGATACCGAAATGTTCGGCCGTTTTTCTGTTGTTTTTCGTCTCCATAGACATAGCCACAACTTTCAATTTGAAAGCAGTGTCATATGCAGCACGTCGTTGTTTAGGCATGATTAAATAAAATATCTATACGGAATACGATCAACGTAGAGACAGGCGAGATGAGAATGTTGCGTGAAAGCGAACAGAAAATAACTTGAGCAGTGCGGGAACTATACTCAGAATGAAAATTTCTCCAACATTTCTGGGATTATATTGACATTTCCACCAATCATGAAGCTCTCACAATTAGCACTTGTACTCATGGTAACAATTTGAAAACTTTATTTACGTCGTCTATGTGTCTGTCGCGTGTCCATTTCACACTTATTCAATCAGGCGTCTATCACCCAAAGAAAACAGACATTGCATACACAATACATACACTCATTTCTTGTATACACAGGAACTGGGGCAGCCCCAGGACGGTGAACACATGTGGACACGGGAAGCACTGCACACAATAATTGACAAGTCTCAAAAAGCCAATGCGGCTTCTATTACAGGGTTTTGCAAGTTTCAATTGTTGTAATTTTTGACTTGATACATTGTAGCAAAGTCGGGGTGCGGCTTCTAATAAAAGTGCGGCTTCTATTACGAATTTTACGGTATCACCAATTCATTCAGTGTACCTTGGTACAAGTAATACCATCACCAATTCATTCAGTGTACCATGGTACAAGTAATACCATCACCAATTCATTCAGTGTACCATGGTACAAGTAATACCATCACCAATTCATTCAGTGTACCATGGTACAAGTAATACTATCACCAATTCATTCAGTGTACCATGGTACAAGTAATACTATCACCAATTCATTCAGTGTACCATGGTACAAGTAATACTATCACCAATTCATTCAGTGTAACATGGTACAAGTAATACCATCACCAATTCATTCAGTGTACCATGGTACAAGTAATACCAACACCAATTCATTCAGTGTACCCTGGTACAAGTAATACCAACACCAATTCATTCAGTGTACCTTGGTACAAGTAATACCATCACCAATTCATTCAGTGTACCATGGTACAAGTAATACTATCACGAATTCATTCAGTGTACCATGGTACAAGTAATACTATCACCAATTCATTCAGTGTACCATGGTACAAGTAATACTATCACCAATTCATTCAGCGTACCATGGTACAAGTAATACTATCACCAATTCATTCAGTGTACCTTGGTACAAGTAATACCATCACCAATTCATTCAGTGTAGCATGGTACAAGTAATACTATCACCAATTCATTCAGTGTACCATGGTACAAGTAATACCATCACCAATTCATTCAGTGTACCCTGGTACAAGTAATACCATCACCAATTCATTCAGTGTATTATGGTACAAGTTATACCATCACCAATTCATTCAGTGTACCATGGTACAAGTTATACCATCACCAATTCATTCAGTGTACCATGGTGCAAGTAATACTATCACCAATTCATTCAATGTACCATGGTACAAGTAATACCATCACCAATTCATTCAGTGTACCATGGTACAAGTAATACCATCACCAATTCATTCAGTGTACCATGGTACAAGTAATACCATCACCAATTCATTCAGTGTACCATGGTACAAGTAATACCAACACCAATTCATTCAGTGTACCCTGGTACAAGTAATACCATCACCAATTCATTCAGTGTCCCATGGTACAAGTAATACCATCACCAATTCATTCAGTGTACCATGGTACAAGTAATACCAACACCAATTCATTCAGTGTACCCTGGTACAAGTAATACCAACACCAATTCATTCAGTGTACCATGGTACAAGTAATACCATCACCAATACATTCAGTGTACCATGGTACAAGTAATACTATCACCAATTCATTCAGTGTACCATGGTACAAGTAATACTATCACCAATTCATTCAGTGTACCATGGTACAAGTAATACTATCACCAATTCATTCAGTGTACCATGGTACAAGTAATACTATCACCAATTCATTCAGTGTACCATGGTACAAGTAATACTATCACCAATTTATTCAGTGTACCATGGTACAAGTAATACCATCACCAATTCATTCAGTGTACCCTGGTACAAGTAATACCATCACCAATTCATTCAGTGTACCGTGGTACAAGTTATACCATCACCAATTCATTCAGTGTACCATGGTACAAGTTATACCATCACCAATTCATTCAGTGTACCATGGTACAAGTAATACAACACCAATTCATTCAGTGTACCTTGGTACAAGTAATATCATCACCAATTCATTCAGTGTACCATGGTGCAAGTAATACCATCACCAATTCATTCAGTGTACCATGGTACAAGTAATACCATCACCAATTCATTCAGTGTACCATGGTACAAGTAATACCAACACCAATTCATTCAGTGTACCCTGGTACAAGTAATACAACACCAATTCATTCAGTGTACCTTGGTACAAGTAATACCATCACCAATTCATTCAGTGTACCATGGTGCAAGTAATACCATCACCAATTCATTCAGTGCACCATGGTGCAAGTAATACCATCACCAATTCATTCAGTGTACCATGGTACAAGTAATACCATCACCAATTCATTCAGTGTACCATGGTACAAGTAATACCATCACCAATTCATTCAGTGTACCATGGTACAAGTAATACTATCACCAATTCATTCAGTGTACCATGGTACAAGTAATACCATCACCAATTCATTCAGTGTACCATGGTACAAGTAATACCATCACCAATTCATTCAGAGTACCATGGTACAAGTAATACCATCACCAATTCATTCAGTGTACCATGGTACAAGTAATACCATCACCAATTCATTCAGTGTACCATGGTACAAGTAATACCATCACCAATTCATTCAGTGTACCATGGTACAAGTAATACTATCACCTATTCATTCAGTGTACCATGGTACAAGTAATACCATCACCAATTCATTCAGTGTACCATGGTACAAGTAATACCATAACCAATTCATTCAGTGTACCATGGTACAAGTAATACCATCACCAATTCATTCAGTGTACCATGGTACAAGTAATACTATCACCAATTCATTCAGTGTACCATGGTACAAGTAATACTATCACCTATTCATTCAGTATACCTTGGTACAAGTAATACTATCACCAATTCATTCAGTGTACCATGGTACACGTAATACCATCACCAATTCATTCAGTGTACCATGGTACAAGTACTACCATCACCAATTCATTCAGTGTACCATGGTACAAGTAATACTATCACCAATTCATTCAGTGTACCATGGTACAAGTAATACCATCACCAATTCATTTAGAGTACCATGGTACAAGTAATACCATCACCAATTCATTCAGTGTACCATGGTACAAGTAATACTATCACCAATTCATTCAGTGTACCATGGTACAAGTAATACCATCACCAATTCATTTAGAGTACCATGGTACAAGTAATACCATCACCAATTCATTCAGTGTACCATGGTACAAGTAATACTATCACCAATTCATTCAGTGTACCATGGTACAAGTAATACCATCACCAATTCATTTAGAGTACCATGGTACAAGTAATACTATCACCTATTCATTCAGTGTACCATGGTACAAGTAATACTATCACCAATTCATTCAGTGTACTATGGTACAAGTAATACCATCACCAATTCATTCAGTGTACCATGGTACAAGTAATACTATCACCAATTCATTCAGTGTACCATGGTACAAGTAATACCATCACCAATTCATTCAGTGTACCATGGTACAAGTAATACCATCACCAATTCATTCAGTGTACCATGGTACAAGTATTACCATCACCAATTCATTCAGTGTACCATGGTACAAGTAATACTATCACCAATTCATTCAGTGTATCATGGTACAAGTAATACTATCACCAATTCATTCAGTGTACCATGGTACAAGTAATACCATCACCAATTCATTCAGTGTACCATGGTACAAGTAATACCATCACCAATTCATTCAGTATATCATGGTACAAGTAATACCATCACCAATTCATTCAGTGTACTATGGTACAAGTAATACCATCACCAATTCATTCAGTGTACCATGGTACAAGTAATAACATCACCAATTCATTCAGTGTAACATGGTACAAGTAATACCATCACCAATTCATTCAGTGTAACATGGTACAAGTAATACCATCACCAATTCATTCAGTGTACCATGGTACAAGTAATACCATCACCAATTCATTCAGTGTACCATGGTACAAGTAATACCATCACCAATTCATTCAGTGTACCATGGTACAAGTAATACCATCACCAATTCATTCAGTGTACCATGGTACAAGTAATACCATCACCAATTCATTCAGTGTACCATGGTACAAGTAATATCATCACCAATTCATTCAGTGTACCATGGTACAAGTAATACCGTCACCAATTCATTCAGTGTACCATGGGACAAGTAATACCATCACCAATTCATTCAGTGTACCATGGTACAAGTAATACCATCACCAATTCATTCAGTGTACCATGGTACAAGTAATACCATCACCAATTCATTCAGTGTACCATGGGACAAGTAATACCGTCACCAATTCATTCAGTGTACCATGGTACAAGTAATACCATCACCAATTCATTCAGTGTACCATGGTACAAGTAATACCATCACCAATTAATTCAGTGTACCATGGTACAAGTAATACTATCACCAATTCATTCAGTGTTCCATGGTACAAGTAATACCATCACCAATTCAGACATTAACCTCCATAACTAGTGACATTTAATCTGACAACTCTGATAAATCTGATAGCAGTGTGTTTGAATCTTGTCTGTTGGATGACCTACATTTCAATAATGAATTAATGGATATTTCTTCTGATTCTACCAAATAAATAACCGTATTTGCTTTTTTGGAAAGCACATCTCTCACCATGGTAACCCACCATGAGTGATGTCAATGCCATGTTTGAATGAAATCAGTCAAGACATGC